GAAAGCTTATGCCCAAATAAATCTGTTAGTCTTTAAGGTGCCACCAGACTCCTTGTTGTTTCTTCAGCAATGTTTTCATTTTGTTTAGAATACACTTTATCCTATTAAACAGAGCTCCATTTCTGCATGAACGCAGGTCAAATTTATTTGTTTCTCTATGTACAAATTCAGAGTGGGAAGTGTTTTGTAATTGAGGTGAATAAATTGTTGCTGCAAACTAGCTACAAGTTAATGCATAGTATTCAGGAGGACACAAGTGAGGCAAATTTGGTTTACAAGTACTGACACAATCTATAAGGTAAGAGAAATCATTGTAAGAATAATTAATATGCTACAAGAGATACTACAGTAATTTCAAATAACATTTTAATTTGAAAATGTTACATTACATGCAATATCTTACCAGAATCAGTGTGTCCAAATTGATTAATTTAAAATATCAAATTTCTTAAATTCCAGAATGAAAAGCACCCACTTAGCACTGTGCTGTCCTTGCTTTTTGTCTACATGACAGCTGGATCGATTTCTATGGATTAAAAATGGAAATCTTGGGAAATCCATTTTACAGGAATTTGGTAAGTGATATATTGGAGTTAAACCTGGAGTGTTACTACTATAAATTACATGTTTGCCAAGTTAAAAAGCTTTCACAAGTCTTCTGATCAGCATAACTAAGAGCACACCTACAGTGTCTTTCTAATCCTGCAGCATAACTTTGGTAACATGTAAAGTTCATAGAAACCTTCAATTTAATTTGAGCCACATTTTTATATCATTACATGTTGTTAAAAGCTACAAATGTAGTTCTTCTTTGTCTATTAACTGCTAGGTTTAAGGTTGTCAATATTCCCACTGATAACTATTTAAAAGGATACAGTTACTTTTCCCTAAATTACATAAAGCACAATAAAAACATAGCAAAGCTTTGACCTTATTCCTAGTAGATGTTTTGGAGAGATTCACTTTTATAAAATCATTTTTGAAAAGAAATGCACAGTAATTAAACTGGCTACAAATTTTTGCACATTGTGATCAAATTTGTATTCACTTTGAAAGAGATAATACAGAAAACCTAAATCTATGCATACAGAGAGAAATACTCAATAAATAGCAGATTTGTTTGCCTTAACTTTAAAATTATGAAAAATTAGCATAGACAATAAGTCATAAAGCAAATAATGGACGTAATTCTCCGCTGCCTTCTGCAGCAATCTGAATCTTTACAGAGTGGATGCAAAATGCTGCCAAATCAGAACTCTCCTATCTATTACAGCAGTGGTAGCATTTAACATTCACTTTGCAAAGGTGTAAATGGCTACAGAAGATATAAAGGAGGGGGGAAAACTTGGACCCTTTGCCTTTTACAGTGAAGTAACTGCAAAATGGCACTATTTTATTCAATACATCTGAGTCATACTTCTTTCCTAACAGAACCAACTTTTCTACTCTTGACATGCCTTCAGAGCCAAAACTGCTATTTAAGAAGGAGATGTATTGTAGCGTTAGTAGTTAATCAACAAAATTGTCAACCAAAGTCTAATTAAATTTTTTTATTACTGGTGATGAAAAGAGCTGAGCTTGGATTTTCAGAGGCCAGAATGAATTTGCTGCATATTTTAGAAAAATCACTTTTTGACTTGCAAACTGAGCAGATTTGACATGCAAGGCACTGACAGTAAATATGAAATTCTAAATTGCAAATTTTTAGATTCATTTTTCAGAATATAAACTGTTTAATTGGAAAATGTTATAAATATACACTTCAACTACATTCCCATTACTTCTGCTTAATATTTTGCATTTCTGTATTGCCTTCAATCAAAGTTAGAGTTTATAAACATTAATATAGTCTCACAACCCTGTGAATTGGTAATATCCTTATATTAGCCATGAAGGAAATTGAGGCAGAGAGAAATTAAGTAACTGCTCATGGTCACACAAGTCTCCATTACATGCAAACCTCCTTCTTAAGAACCACTATGTAGCAAGACATACTATATTTAAAGTGGTGAAATGCACATTAACTTTGGTTGCTGTCATAATAATGAAATCTTTTGTTGTGAATCATAAGTTAGAAGATAAACTGTTTGACCTGTAGTGAGCAATCTTGTGTATCTCACTATAATCAGAAGGGTCAGGAATCTTTGAACCCTAATACCATTCCCCACATACATACATCCATGAATGAGAAGAAAAATGCAGAAAATATAACTATCATGGTGGCTTATGATGTTATCAGAATCCCAAAATATGCATAACTTTACTGTGTTTTATAAAATTATTGAACAGCACAAAAAAAAGTGGTATTACTTGTATTGCTTCTTTCTACGTCCTTTTCCCACTCCCCTAAATGCACACGCGCACACAGAGAGACAGAGAGAGAGAGAATGTACTGCTGCCAATCAAACCAGCCTGATTGTAATTACTGCTTTCTAGAAGTTGCAGCCTACAGTGGATATAAGCCCAGAAGTTAGTAGGCAAATGTGAATGTTTCATAGGTTATCACTGCTGTTTATACTCAATCATCATATGCAGTATTATCCTTGGCAAAAGGAAAGGAGGCAGCTCTGTGTTTCGGTTTACAGGTTGATACAGATAAGTAAGTGAAACCTTTTCCTGGTTGTGCTGTAGACCTAAAATTGTATTAGCTTTTCCCCATTAGTTTTTTTAGAGTCCTCCAGTCATATTACACTGGTCAAGAAAGGTGCCTACAGGCTGATGGCAAGAAAGAAGTTTCTGAACAACTTTAGAAGTAGAACCAGTTCCAAGTTTGAAAACTTTCATCAAAACACGGATAAAAATGAGATTTTTGATGTCTGAGTTACTAGCACTTTTTGAAACACATTTCCAACAGATTGTAAAGAACAGCGACCACATCACTTGACTTTTTTCTAAATTTAGTTTTAAAATGTTGTATCACCAAAACGGTGATGATTTAGTGTTACAAAGGTAACTAATAATATATTGTCTTTAACTACTGGGCTAATTATTAGATTTCACACCCTACCCCACCCCAAAAATCTAAAAATGAAAAATGAGGTTAAAAACAAGTGATGCAAAATTATATGATGCAGATAATTTGGCTCATGGTACTGAATTATTCTACATATTAATGTATACTATCTTATTTCTGTATGGTGAACATAATGCCTCTGACATAATGCCTAGTCATTCTAGCTGGCTACATCAAAAGTGGTCCACCTTTCTGAACAAGTCTGTAAACAAAACAATCTGAATGCAAGAAATGTGGCTTCAAAGCACCTTGTTCCTTTGTAACCCTCCTGTTCACTCCCCCGTCAAACAGAGCCCACAATAACTTATTAAAGTATCACATACTGAAGTTCTGTACAGGATGTTCTTTATTAAAAGCCTCCCCCTGTTTATGAGAAAATCACAACTTATTGCATGTAGATGTATACAGAACCCCTTTTCTTTTTTTTTTTTTTACAAACACCAATATTACAAATAACTAATTATACAAACCATTTCTCCCTATTAGTTCATAAAATTGGGGGTTCTACTGCATTCCACATATCTCAATCTCTGAGAAGAAATGCTGCCCTCCGTGCATTTTCCATTATAACCTTTGCTTCTAGTTTATTTGGCCTTAATTCATGAATTGACTATTCTTCAAGATATCTCTGCCAACCACAATAAACAGCTTTCCAAATACTTATTTGTAGAAGTGCAAGTGTTCACACAAGCAGTTTACAGCTATGGGGAAACAGCCAGATAAACATGACAATGCTAGTCTAGTCCAATTTGTTAGTATCCTACAAAAGCAACTTGCTTGCTTTCCAATATAGTTAGTTTAAAAACAAAACAAATCTCTGTATCTGAAATAGAAAGGCATGAAACAGAAAGACTCGAGATGACAGAGACCTGTCATCTACTCCAGTGGTTCTCAATCAGGGGTCCAGGGCTCACTGAGTGGCCGTGAACAGGTTTCTGGGGGTCCTCCAAGCAGGGCCAGCATTAGACTCGCTGGGGCCCAGGGCAGAAAACCAAAGCCCCACCGCATGGGGCTGAAGCCCAGGGCCCTGAACCCCGCCGCCTGGGGCTGAAGCCAAAGCATGGAGCCCCAGGCAATTGCCCTGCTTGCTACCCCCTAACACCAGCCCTGGCTTTAAAAAACAGTTGTTGTGGCACAGCTGGGCCGTGGAGATTTTATATCATTGGGGGGGGGGGGCAGAAAGAAAAAGGTTGAGAACCCTGATCTACTTCATCCGTGGGTCAATATAAATCTGTTCCCTATTCTACAGCTACTAGTGTGTTGTTTTGTCTAGTCTAGTTGTGACACGTGAGGGACTATGAAAGTCAGCATTTAATACTTATCGAATACCAACTCTTTTTATTAGGTATAGAAAATAACTAGTAAATGCTGGCAAATTTTTCATTTTATAATGTTAAGAGCGTCCCACAGTACTTTACAGTGAAAAAGGAGCCGTGAGTGGAGATACAAGAATGGGCTGGTCTATGTGCTCCTAGAACCACTAAGGCAGTAGTTCTCAAACTGTGGGTCAGGACCCCAAAGTGGGTCGCAACCCCATTTTAGTGGGGTCATCAGGGCTGACTTAGACTTGCTGAGGCCAAAGCCCGAGCCCCACCACCTGCAGCCGAAGCCTGAGGCCTTCAGCCCTGCGTGGCGGAGCTTAGGTTATAGGCCCCTGCCTGGGGCTGAAGCCCCTGGGCTTCAGTTTTGGACCCCACCACTGGGCGGTGGGGCTTGGGCTTGGGCCCCCCAGCCTGAGAAATGGGGCTCAGGCTTCGCTCCCCCCTCCTGGGGTTGCATAGCAATTTTTGTTGTCAGAAGGGGGTCACGGTGCAATGAACTTTGAGAATCCCAGCAGTAAGGGTAGATATGGCTACAGTTCGCACTAAGCCTGGGTCTTTGGGACTCAGGCTTGTTCCCATGCCCAGACTTAAGCATCCACACTGCATTGTAAAGCTGGGTTTACAATTGCTGGACCTAGGGGTCTGTCATCCATACTGCACTAGACTGACCTGAGTCGGGCCTGCAGCTGTAGCTGCATCTGCATTGAAAATGACAGGCCTTGGCCCTGGCCCCTGAGTCAGAGTGGGACTCGGCCTCTGACCCTCCCCTCTAGCAGGGTGCTGGGACTTGGGTCCTGAGTGCTTCCTAACCCAAACCAGATTGATTTGTGTGTGAACAGAAAAGAGGCTTGGGCTCAAATCTGAGTCAAAGACCAGGCTTCGTGTGCAGTGCAGACATAGACTATGGGGCTGGCCATTGGCCTAGCCACTCTTGCTCACTAAGAGTACATCCACTGGGCAATAAAAAACCCACCGCACTGAGTCCCAGAGCCGGGGACAGCTGACGTGGCCTCGCAGCCGGAGCCCCATGAGCCTAACGCGAGCAGTGTCGTGCTCGGAGACCTTCCTCAGAGCTCCACAGGGCAATATTACAACCCTGGAGCCAGCCGCAGCACCTCATTTACTGCCGCGTGGGCATTCCCTCCCTGGGCCTACTCTGGCAGGAGTTGTTCACCTCACGCTGTTTCTCAGTGCGGCCCCTCAGCCCCAGGGCAACGGCAGATCGGCTCCTGCTCACGGCCTCGACCAGTGACTTAGTGCGGGTCGGCCTGGCCCCGTTCACACGGGAAACTCGGCTCCGCAGCGCGGAGCTGGGCGCTCAGGACTGGTCTGTCCCCGGCACTCACGCCAGCCCAGTCCCTCCTCCGCCTCCGGAGCAGCCCCTCAGCTCGAGCCCACCCCTGCTCCCCTCACGGCGTCGGCTGTTGCGCTGCACGCGGCTCCTCTCATTGGTAGGTTTCCGCAGAGCTCGAGCTGCCCACGGTCTCACGCACGCGCCTATGACCTTTAGTCCTTTACTCGCCCTCGCCCGCCGCTCCGCGTGCAGCAACAACAGGAGGGGAAGGACCCTTCCTACAGCCTCGCTCACAGCTAGCCGCAAGAATTTCCCTGCCTCTGATTGGCCAGCTCCGATACAGCAGCGATCCAATCGACAGCCTTTGCTTCAAGCCTCCGCCTCGTGCACGGCACGGAGCCTATCCGCCCCGGACAACCAATAGGCCCCGCCCACAGGTTCCTTTTATCGTCACACTGGGCGGGTGCAGTAAGTGTCAATCAGAGCGAAAGACTTTGCTGATTGGTTGGAAGTTACAGCACCTTTGTCCCGGGGCGGCCTTGCGCTGCTGGGCGCTTGCTGGCTGGTGGTAAATGCCGACTGCTTCTGAGCGAGCGGGATAACGGTAATGGCTCCCCCCGGCGCTGCGGAGGAAGAATATGTCAGCGGGGCTCAGCTAATCGCTGAGGCCCTAAAGACACAAGTAAGAGTGCTCAAGTCTGACCCTTGACAGTAACCGACTATAAGTCCTCTACGGGGACTCGGATGGGTCATGTCGCGTGGTCTAGTAGTTAGCGCTCCGCGTTGGCACCTTTGTGATGCGGATTCGAAACCAGCCCCCAGCTGTTCCCTCCCAAGCGGCTGGCACTGTGGGAGGGACGTGTGTGGTGCCATCACCTACCTCCCAGGCAGCAGAAAGTGGCAGGTGCTTGGGAAGACCCCTGTGTTCTAAGAGCTTGAACAGTGGCCAAGCTTAGCCCAGCTCCTGGGAGCCAGTTACATGCTGAGACCCTCGCCTTGGTGGCGTGAAGACATCCAGGGGCCCGCAGTGGAAGGTAGCCAAGGGAGTTAGTGTTGTTGGCATTACCGTGAAGCACTGTGTGCATGGGCAGTGCAGTCAGACAGTCCAGAGAGAGGAGCAGGCAAAGGGTGGGAGGAAAATAATTTTACCATTGCTAAAATCACGGTAAGGGAGGCATCATGATGATTGAGCAACTAGCCCTGGGGCTGCAACAGTCCAGTGCCTTGACCGAGTTGTTCAGGTAGGCATGTTTTGTGTGGCTTTGATCAGCTTAGTTCTCTTGCAGCTGGCAATACTGGCATCCCTCTGCTCAGTCTCATTTGGGCTTCCCAGTTCACAATACAATAGGGAAGTATCATGCCTTTGCTGCCATTAGCCCGATACTTTACCCAGGGATAAACTCATAACCAGCAAACTAGGGACATGCTCCTTTCCTGTAATCTATTTTAGCCTGAAAACCTCTCTTAATGTCTGTGTATATACACAGTTTAAAATAATCTGAGCTGGTTGTGTCATTGTCCAGAGGCTAATGTAACTTGGAAATGCTCTTTTCCTCTCATGCAGAGAGACCTTTACTGCCAGTTGTACAGCTTTCCTGAATTATCAGCCTGCCCACTCTCTGCCTCTTGGGCCGCATCTACAGTACAAAATGATGTTGACCTAACTTACATCAGCATACAGCCACCGCTGTGCACACTTGGCTCCTTGTGTCAGTGGCGCATGTTTTCACTAGGAACACTTGTATCAATTGTATTCTCAGTGTGGGGCATTGTGGGATGGCTCCCAAAAGCCAATAACAGTTGACATAAGCAACACAGGGTCCACACTAACTCTGCATTGACCTAATTACATCGGCCATGACTCTACGCTGCTGGAGGAGGTGGTGTTATTAAGTCATGCTAGCGAGGCATGTACATCGGCAGGAGCCACATTTAAGTGAAGATGCTTCCTCAGCTAGGTTGACGTAAGACAGCTTACGTCCGCATAACTCTGTAGTGTAGACCAGGTCTTGGTTTAAACTCCTACCTCTTCATCATACTTACTATTATTTTATAATACACCTCTACCCCAATATAAAGCTGTCCTCGGGAGCCAAAAAATCTTACCGTGTTATAGGTGAAACCGCGTTATATCGAACTTGCTTTGATCCGCCAGAGTGCGCAGCCCCACCCCACCCCCGGAGCACTGCTTTACCGAGTTACATCCAAATTCGTGTTATATCGGGTCGCGTTATATCGGGGTAGAGGTGTAGTTTTCAAACTTGCATGGCCTCTCCTGATTTGAAACAGCTCAAACTTGGGACAGTTTGTCTAAAAACCTTTAGTGACATTTGTACGATGGCACTCTTATTAAGTTAATTATTAAATAAATGATTACAGGATAGAGCATACGCCTAGTTCAGTGGTTCTTAACCTGGGGTGCCAGATTTTTTTAGAAGGTAAATCATTGAAAACACAAATTAAGCACAGGCACGTAAGTACAACTACTTTATTTCATCAAACCTATGTATTTATTAACATTATACATTTTTTAACGATTACTGTAATATACAAACAAAAAATATATCTAGGTTTAAAGAACTGACCTACTTCAACAATTTTTGGTAAGGGGTGCGAGAACATATTTTGAGAATCAAAGGCTGCAGTCAAGGTTAAGAACCACTGCTCTAGTTCATTGGTTATCAGTTTATCCCAGGTAAAGTATCCTGCTAACTGCAGCAAAGCCATCATACTTCCCTAACATACTGTCAACTGGGAAGCCCAAATAAGATGGAGCAGAGAGATGTCAGTATTGCCAGCAGCAAGAGATCAAAAATCATGAGTCAAACCCTCTGAAGAGATGAAAAAATAATGAGGTTATTTAAAAAAAAAAAAAAAAAAAAGGCTGTGGGGGATGAGGGGAGGGAGTGTTGGTCTTTTTGGTTTTTGAACAAGTAGTGTTATCGACTCGCCCAGATTCATTGAGTAAGGTAATTTTGGCTCGTCCTGAAGGAGCTCTCAACTACACATCTACCCATCCCCAGTCCAGCAATTAATTTTACCCCCACCCAGCCTTTGTCCCCCCATCATTTCAGCTGCCCTCATCCCCCATCAGTGCCTCATTCCATCAGTTCAGCCCCACTACCCGCACCCCATCTGTTCAGTCTTTATCAGTCCAGCACCCCCACCTCCTCCCTTCTCAGTTCACTTACAATTTTTAATGTTGATTTTGTTATGAATCCTTTGCTTGCTGTAGTTTGACTGTGACACAAGCGCTTGGCCTGGGCCCCTAGGTAAATGAATCTTTGTTGCCTTTTTGTTAAGGGCCTACTAAATGCATTTTCCCACTAAGGGGAGGGGAGAGACTTTGTCAACCAACCAGAACACACAACGTTTGGTTTCAGTTCTGTAGTAGGGAAATCTGTGCCTGACTACAAAATGATTTTAAATTTTAGACCAAACAAACATAACAACCAGGATAGAAGAACTTTCTTGTCTATTACCAAGGAAACAAATAACCAATTTGGTACAAGACCTGGAATCTCTTGAAACTGTTCTCCCACCCTAGACTATATGGATACACAAGTGTTGGATTGTATATTACTGTTTGCCTGGAGTGATGTTTTTCCCCCATACATTTTATTGTTATACTTTTATTCACAGTTGACCTCTGTATTTGTTAAGAACATGCTAGTAATCTTATATTTGAATCACTATTGAAATGCCAATTAAAATATACTTTGGTGGGGAAAAAAGTTAATTGTTTAAAAGGAAAATATTTATAATCGAAACCTTGTTTTTTGAGACCAACGTGTAAAGGATCTATTGTAATTACATGCTACCTGGGAACAAGCAATATGCATAAGTGATTCCTATCTTTTTCTTGAGATCTTGATGTGGTATTATTGCACTTCAACCTCTACTTTGCTTTTATGTGATTGTGCACTTTATTAGGATTTAAGATAGGCACATTACACAGAAGCAACTTTAGAGATCTGATCATTGTGCATCAATTTTGGAAATAATTCAGATTTTTTTAATTCTCGTTTCAGAACATTGAATATATGTTTGGTATTGTTGGTATTCCAGTGACTGAAATTGCAATTGCAGCCCAAGCAATTGGAATAAAATATATAGGAATGAGAAATGAACAAGCTGTAAGTAAATATCTTGTGGACTAGTCATCCTTCCTTTTTATTTTCATATTAGCTATCTGTTTTACAGTTGAATCTCTGTTTTACACATGCCTTTCATGGGCACCTGAAACACTCATAAAATCCATGGTTTTGGTGATCAAGAGCTAGCAATAGAGTACCCAAACTCAACAGGAGTGCAGTAGCACAGAAGCTTAGCTTCATGCTTTTGGAACTCAGGAGTTCTGCAGGACTGGAACCTGAGGCTCTGTACTTGTTGGAGTTCCCAAGTCCTGCAGCAGTTTTAATCAGTGCTAAGGTAGGGGTCATAAGTAAGGCTGTGATTTAGTCATGGAAGTCAAGGAATCCATGACTTCCAAAGACCTCTGTGACTTCAACCAGCGTTGGCTGTGAGCTGTAGGGTCCCTTGCCACCTGCTGAGGCAGGGAGCTATGGGGAACCCCCGCCGCCGTGGGTGGCAAGGGGGGACCCCCACAACTCAGAGCTACCAGCAGAGGGGGACCCTGGAGCTCCCAGCCCACCGGCAGATGCCCAGGCTCCCCATTTTGTCATGGATATTTTTAGTAAAAGTCAAGGACCGGTGTGACATTCTATACCTTGGGGGAGCATACTGTAACCCCCATAATCCTCATTTTCATATAATCGTGATCTTACCTTACAAGGCATGCTTTATATGGAGGGAGGGATAGCTCAGTGGTTTGAGCATTGGCCTGCTAAACCCAGGGTTGTGAGTTCAATCCTTGAGGGGGCCACTTCGGAATCTGGGGCAAAAATCAGTACTTGGTCCTGCTAGTGAAGGCAGGGGCCTGGACTTGATGACCTTTTGGGATCCCTTCCAGTTCTATGAGATACATATATTTTTTTTTTTATATAGAGATATACCTATCAGGGGAAAGGTGATGATCTGCTGAAAGTCATTTCTCTATCCATATATGTGTATCATTAATTCATATGAAGTTACAAGAATTGTGTTGTATGGTGGTCACTAAAACATGCTGTAAGTTGGGGAATCAGCCAGATATTAGCTCCCTAGAGGCAACAGCAAGGAAAGTAACCAACAACCGGGCGGGGTGTCAAACAATCCATCAACAGCCATTGTCCAGCAAGGGAGTTACAATTCAATGATTCACCTGCATGAGGC